AATTAGAACTAAATAATACCCTTTTGGGTTGAACAATTTACAAAACTGTTTAGAAACATTTTGTGTTATAAATATAGTTGTCTTTTTTCTGCAGTGATAGAGTGTCTTCTTTTATTGATTAGCCTCCATTGCAGTTATGTTCACACGAACGCAAGCAAACACAAACGTAACAACAGAGTAAAACCAAAAATTAACAAAAAAAAAAACACAAAACGAAAACTCAACAATAGAAAACGAAAACTCAACCAATAAAAAACAAAAATTCAACAACACGACGAATACACTGCAAAGAATACATTTGATAACGACAGCCGTCAGAAACCGAATGAAGAAAATCACGGTGATGCACTGGTGGGGATGCAACCCGACGACTTGACCCGTTATCTATCCCTATCGACCAAAAACTAAAAAGTGACTTTTCATTTTTCAGTTCATTATAATTAACACTATTTAACAATCATTCTCAATAAAAAAAAACATTTAATTTAATAAATTATTAAAGTAATAGTATATCGTATAGTAATAGTATCAATTAATTATTCACACTTCTACTTCTGGTATTTGTGTGTATATAGTGTAGGCTTAGAATAATAACGCATAGAATGATAGTTTCATATCAAACGAACTGTCACAAGTGAGGCAAAAACCAAATTCATGTAGGCGTAAGCAACTTGTAACTACGCTCGTCGGCACGCACACAAATATACAAATAATGATGCCATGGAATAACATTTCCCTCAAAAGTGGGGAAATTGTATCTTGCTTAACTCATCATTAAGTTAAAGGTGCCTACAGATTTGCCCGACATTGTCGATCAGGTGCCTACAGATGTGCTCGGTTTTGTCGATGAAAAACGAATATAGCACTTATTTGTAAATCCAAGATGGCGGACACGATTTTTCAAAATATGCTATATGGGTATCCTTTTCGAGGTATTTGGGGATGCTCATTACGAATATGGCACTCATTTCTAAATCCAAGATGGCGGACACGAGTTTTGAAATAAATGCAATATGGGTATCATTTTCGAGGTACTTGGGGATGCTCATGACGAATATGGCACTCATTTCTACATCCAAGATGGCGGACACGATTTTTCAAAAAAATGTAATATGGGTATCATTTTCGAGGTACTTGGGGGTGCTCATAACGAATGTGGCACTCATTTCTAAATCCAAGATGGCGGACACGAGTTTTCAAATAAATGCAATATGGGTATCATTTTCGAGGTACTTGGGGGTGCTCATTACGAATGTGGCACTCATTTCTAAATCCAAGATGGCGGGCACGATTTTTTCAAAAAAATGCTATGTGGGTATCATTTTCGAGGTATTTGGGGATGCTCAATGTGAATATGGCACTATTTGTAAATCCAAGATGGCGGGCACGATTTTTTCAAATAATGGCAAGTTGGGTATCGTTTTCGAGGTATTTGGGGGTGCTCATTACGAATATTGCTTTTGTTTGAACTGTCGTGTTTGCCATCTTGGATTTAGAAATGAGTGCCATATTTGTATTGAGCATTCCCAAACATCTCGAAAACGATACCCAACTTGCCATTATTCGAAAAATCGCGCCCGCATCTTGGATTTAGAAATAAGTGCCATATTCGAAACCTAAAACCGAAAATGCCATAAGCAAACATTAAAGAAAATAACTGTTAAAATAGATTAAAAAATCGCTTAAGAATGCTCCCCTTTTAAGAAAATAAAATATTTTAATATAAAATATTTCGCTTGAGTTACGAAAAGAAAGACATATAATAAGCTATCAAAGTTGTACTGGTGGTGCCAACACTATAGTAGAAACAAATATATAAGTACTGTAAATTTGTTGCAATATGTGCTCCAATTCAAATAAAATTAAAATAAATAATTATTCAATAAAGCATGAACGCAGAGCCGTTAAAAGTATTATAAAATAATTAAGTGTCCCAATCACTTACAGGAGTTAACGAAAACATTTAATGTTTATTAAAGTAAATATTAGTTCAAGATGCGCAAATAAATCTAAATTACAGGCACCATTAAAATTTACGTAATATAATTATTTTGATACAGAATAGCAAAATGGGGAGAAAAAAAATTCGTTACTTTGCAACACTTTCGTATCTTGTTGCCGCGAAATTATTTTTCTGTTTTAGTGAATATTTACATAAAAATATGAGTTGAAACGCATTACTTACTTGTGGAATGCGATGTTAGTGTCTATTTTATGTTTGTCTGTTGTATTTTTACACCCATTTACCGCACATTTCGTCATTTTTAGCAAAAAATTTTGGAGCTGTTCGCGGTGCAATATGACCTTGAGCACTAACAGCCCGCGCGCTCCTGGGATGCGTTTGGAACCCTCTAACTTGCCTCACTTAGCGTGTGCGGGCTAGGTTTCTATGCGTTATTATTCTAAGAGTGTAGGTATACATAACAAATTAAAATAAAAAATCGAATAAACACAAAGGACAGCCAAAGGTTATTTATTACCGAAACATTGCCAATAGGATAAAAATCTTACAAAATTAATGAAAAAATGTGGTGTTTCAAATGAAAAATATGATTTGATAATATTTTGTTTGTACATGCACACCATTTAAAAACAATATAAATCATCTCGCAATAATTTTTAGCCCTTTTCACTGTTCCACTATTTGTGGAACATTTTTTGTAATGGCATCACCTTTGTTTACATTTTTTTACTTTAATTTAATCTCAGAGTTTTAGGTAGGAGGTAGGTACATTTATTCCGTACATATAGCAGCTCCTTTCCTTTATTTTTTTTCCATCCTCTATAAAAAATAAAAGAATAATTGTGTAAACTTCTAAAATTTGAATCTTTGAACATAAAGGAAGGAAAAAAATTTGTGGATTTTTTTCTAATTACTGACATTGGCCACTTTCGTCATAATTTTTATTTTGGTTTCCATTGGTTTCCGTAGTGTAAGTTATTCTTATAAAACTAATACTGGCCCAAGCTTTTTTTTTAAAGTTGCCGCCATTAAGGAAATAATAATAACCATCAAATTGAAGGGAAGTATAAGGGCGCGTTTATACGACACGAATTTCATTGTGCTCACCCCGCGCGGTCGAAGAGCGGAGTCCGCGGCGGCCGCCGCGCAATCGAAGGGCGGAGTCCGCGGCGGTCGACGCGCGGTCGCCGAGCGGAGTCTGCGGCGGCCGCCGCTGCCCAGCGACCTCAGAGACTGAACTGTCATGGCAAAAAAAGCTCTATTTATTTAGCTTTTGACTGGAAGGCACTAGCTTGGCTTTTGTCTACGCGGTCGCCGAGCGGAGTCCGTACTTCGACCGCGCGAAAACTTTCTCCTCGTGTGTCTGGGCGCTAAGTATTGAGTTATTATTGTCAGTTTTTGTCTATCCTCTCTGTTTTTGCTTCACGCTTGATAAGTTTTGCAATGGATACAAATTCAACGCTATCGAGTTCGTATTATACGGAGATGGTTGGGAATTCAGCAGTCGTCGCTACAATACTGAATTTTTCGACCGGCATGTAAGTAAAAATATTACATACCTGTTTATAAAATGAAGAATTAATTCATGCTATGGTGCAATGTTGGATTCTATTATTGTATATTTCCTTTGAGTTTGATATGATATTCCTTGTGCTAGATTTGTGTGCAAGCAATATATGCGGAATAAAACTACTGGAGATGCATCCGGTTTGCCATTTATAAGCGGTATATTATTGTAAGTATACCTATAACAATAATAATAATAATAAATAACCCCGGCCGACTGTGCCATTGCCGGGAAATACCGCCTCTCCCATTTAAAAATTCAAAATTAATCTTTTAGGCCTTGGGAGAGGCGAGAGTTTAAAATAAATACGATAATAATAATAATAATAATAATAACGCACACACTCAACATAGCCCCGCACTAGGGAAACCCTGTGTCGCGGGTGCCATGGACACACACGTAGACAACCACAAATTACACCCAAACTCACGAGAGAAATAAATGTAAGCCATACAAATATTTCTCCCGGCCCGGGAATCGAACCTGGGACCTCTGTGTGGCAGTCCGGCATGGTAACAATTCGGCCACTGAGGCAGTCTATGTATTTATTTTAGACCTTTCGTCGTTCATATATATGTTAAATTTACACTACCTACTTGGTCGCAATCAAATAGGCACGATGCCGTTTTAAATGCTACTTCTGTTACGTAACTGTCGACTATTTGGCGAACTGAATGTGCACCGCAAAAGCTACATAGCGCTACTACATAGAGGTATACATAATTATATGTCAATGTTGTTATTTTTGAATACATGAAACGGCCGTCTCCTCGTGCCCGTACTGGTTGTTTCTACGCATGAGGACTAATATGTCCTTATGCTCCTATCGTGACGTCGTATCTATAATAAGTACATTGAACTAGAATAAAAAAATAAAAAATTCGAAAATCTTTTTATTTCATAGGTAAGAAGAAAATTGCGCTAGAAATTGTCACTTTGCGCTCTTCCATAAGGGAGATTCCCCTGAGAAGACCAAGAAACTCTAGGCGTTGCTCTTTAAAAATAATATAGTAATTTAAATGTATATGCAGAAACAACCTGAAAAAGCTAAACGGATCACTACCATGGATTTTTGTCATCCAAGTACCTACGCAGAAGTTGTATAAATATCCTTTAGTATAAAGAACAACTACTTTATTTTTATTCCACTTATTAGTTATTAGTATGTCTGTCTCTATTTTTCATAAAGAGACTAATTACTATTCTTTTTATCTCTCAAAGATGCTCAGGAGACCAGATTGTAAATTGTCCTAACAGCGCGTGTTTGCGGTATAAAAATTCTAAGGCAATAACACTATAATATATGAGGCCATGAGAACCATAGTGGCCTAACTCATTTTTTTACAATATTGAGTTTATGATTTTTTCCAGTTCAAATTGATCATTTTGATAGAACCAGAAAGGCCTAAAAGCAATACAACGAATTTTCACTAGATGGCAGCATAATCATTGTTATGGTTTTTAGTCTGTGATCTAAATTTGAGGTGCCATACTGGCCTAAGTAAGATAGGCCACTATGGCTTGTCCATTGAATTAGGCCACTATGGTTCTCATGACCTCATATAATAACTCCCAAAACAAAATGCAATTGAACTATGGAAGTAACTAAACAAAATCAGCCTCGCAGTGTCTATGTCTGAAAGCAGTCGTATTTTTTTAAATCGCTTAATTGTAATTAGACAACGAGTAGTACAATATCAATTACATATCCGTACCTGAGAAGCATTACACTGTAACCGCCATTTTTGTAATTTTACAGGAGAAGCGATTTTGTGTCAAAATGCAGCATGTATAACATTTAGGATGCCCTAAAAATAAAACTGATCAATTTTTAATAACAGTAGTTCTAATATTCAAAGTTTTGTAATTAGAGATCATCGAGTATAATGTTAGAGATCAAGGCTGTTTACATAATGAGTTCAATTTCTTAGTTTTAGCGATATTTATAACAATAAAACAAAAAACTAGTGTACTCAACAGAACAGGTGGGAATAAAGGGTAAATACCGTGTTCTGCTTTTAAACAAACGTCAAATAGAAAAAAGTTACCGTAATGTAATGTGACACCTCTCACAAATTAAAAAAGAAATACAACATGAAAATGGTTATAGTTATTATTATTTTAGCTAAGTAACCTTTGTCAGTATCTGTCATCCCATCACACAGTACCTACAATGAGAATTAAAAATACAAAACCATTGTAGGTACCGACCGTGTGATGGGATGTCTGATACCGACAAAGGTTACATTAGTTAAAAAATAAGTTTTTTTGTTTTTGTTGCTACAAAATTTGTAAAGAAGTTTCTATTTAAGTTCAAAATGACTTTTTTAAAATGTTTTTTCATGAAAATAGTACAATAATTCCTGCTATTTTGGAGTCACGTACGTGTACTATGCAAAGTAATCTGTCCCTTGTGAAGTTAAGTGTGATTCGTTATGGTCTGTAGCATAAGGATCAGCGGGAGTGTCAACGAAATTTTCATTATCAAATAATTGAGGGCTATTTTGCCCAGATCTCTGAGAATTCTTTATTCATTGTTCTCATCTAGTTGTGCTGACAGCCCCCATATCTTTCTACATACATAAGTTTTGTTTATAGTGACCCTCCATATCAGCCTCTTGGTTATACGGGAAGTACCACAGGGAACCAAGGGAACCACTATAATATCTCTAAGTAAAATGAGGTTACGAATAACCAAGTGTGCCATCCTTTTATGCCAAAGCTCCAACTCACTGCTTACTCCTGTCACCATTCCCATGGCCTGTGGAAAGCATTTAGGTTTTTAAACGCCTCTATCAATTACTCCTGTCATACGTGGTTGACCCTGTATCGTACACTCACTCATATCAAAGATCTCGCATCCTTGTTTAGAGAACACAACAACTTTATCTTTTGTATTCACAATACAGCTTATACTCAATAGATTAGAAGCAAGATACATACATTACGTTACTCACACTAATGCTATTCTTTACTGTACCAAAATCTTCTCCATACACTTTACCTCCATTTGCGCAACACACCTTTTTACAACCTTTCTTCCTACTTTTATAAAATTATCCATCCAATCTCTCCCATAGCTCATATGTGTTGATGTTCCGGAATCTAAAATCCATTTATCTTCATTGTTCTTTTCTTGAACAGAATTCAGTGCCGTTGCCATATGACTCGTCTTGGATTGACGTGGATTCTGCGGGCAGTCGTAAGCTTTATGTGGTCCCTCCATTGACTTACAAATAAATGGACGACGGGTCTAATACAAAAACCACGAGAAAAATGTCCCAAGTCAACCTATTCGAAATTTAAATTGTAATGTCATCGCAGTATCGCGCTGTCAGTCGAACAAATGAAGACTAAAGCGGAGTTTGGCGCTCTGTATACGATTTTAGCGCCTTACAAGTGCTAACGTAAGCGTTAGCGCGGACCCGACGTCCATATAATTGTAAGTCAATGGGTCCCTCACATATGAAACACTTCACGATCTTCTTTTGTTTGTTCCTCTGAACAGGTTTTCTATTTGAAATGAAACTATTTTTCCGGATTTAAATCGCGTATATTTGTTTTTTCAAACAAACCGACATCGACGACGATTTAAATCCGGGAAAATAGTTTCATTTCCTATGTGTAGCAATCGCGAAAACCTAAGAACTCGATAGGTTTTCTATACTTTTTCACTGTAGTAAGTGCCGAACTCTGCCCTAGAGTGCTTGGACCTGCGCAAACTTTGCTCTCATCTAATTGAAACAGTTTTGTTTTTATATAATCCGTGCTTAATGCTATGTTGGTATTCTCTAATGCCAACCTCATAGGCATATACTCCTCTGGTAATCCCTGTAGCATCATTGCCGCTAACAATTCATCATCAATTTCTTTCCTAAAGTCTGATAGTTGATTAGCTACTCTCATTAGCTCTGTTACATACTCGGTTATCGAATTGAACATATTAAGCTTTAGGTCCACCAGGCTCGATAGCAGCCTACATCTGTTGTTAATGCCTTTGTCCTCATATACTGTTTTCAGACTCTTCCACGTCTCATACGTCGTTGTTACTTTGCGTACGCAAAGTAACAACGACGTATGAGACGTGTACCTTACAAGGGTTCTCAATAAGTAGGCAAATTTTTGTAGGTGCTTTTTGATCACCTTGCTTAGCAACTGGATCATCAGCAGCGGGCGGACTCTCAACATATTGCCATAGATCATCATGGATTAATATGCACTCAATATCAAACTTCCAACTTTCAAAGTTGCTACTTCCTTGTAGCTTCTCAATCCCAGGAAGTCCAGATCCCGACATAGTACTCATTTCGCTAACTAGAGTATTAGTTATAGGAATTTGGTTAATCTCACCATTAATCTCTCTATGATTCATATCACATAATCACGTTCGTACACTCGTTGTACTAAATCTGTTCACTCAATATTTAGTAGCTGCTGGTTCCCATAACCTGATAGAGCTCCTCCGGCTCCATCAATAAATGAGGAAACGAATTTTAATATTTTAATAAAGATCTTTATTAAAATATTTCCAAAACAAATAACGTGTTTAAAACACAACTTGACATGAAGAGAGTTCTACGAGGTAACAATAATCAATTTAAATTTGAAAAAGAATAACTCTTATTGTCACACCGGCCAGTATGTAAAAGATTGCATATCCATGCTCTGACATCAACGAGTAGTATTAAGTTTATTCATTGTATAAAGTACTGCGTTATATTTGTGTACATCAATAGTTCTTATAGTCTTAAGTGGTAGAAATAAAGTTGTATATGTGTCTCGTTTCATTCCAATAAGGATCAAACAGGTATTCAGTTGAAATAATTAGTAAAATAGAGAACATGCCTGCTTGATCCAACTCGCGCGCAGATGAGCGCACGCGCAGCTAGGGCGACTACTTATACACCAGAAGCGGGGGGCAGGGTAGTATAAGTACGTCACCCGGCATGAATTGCCTGCGGGCGCACTACTAAGGCCGTTATGTACCACTTATGTATGTTTTAAGACACTGTACAAATTAGTAGTAAGTAATATATAATAGAAAAGCATTTGTAATAAATGAATATGTGAAACATGAATAAATAGTACGAAGGGGGTGAGATAACTATTGGCGGGAAAGGAAGGCTCGCTCACCTATAAAAGGCGCACCGGCGCCAATAGATATAGAGTATAAAAACACCCCAAGCTCGAAACATAGAAAACCCCGAAGAAGAGCCAGCAGCCAACCTTACCAGACAAACTAGTCTCCAGATCTTCATAAGTAGTATAAATAACCGGCAGTTTTATTGAATCCAGTCAAAGGCGCATCCCGCACACAGAGAGCTGAAGTACTTTGTACACTTGGTGGTGTGTTATCCTTATACCACTTTATTCCATAGATCTGGCGATAAATTTACTAAGTTGAAAACACCACGCTAATTTTAACGATAGTTAAAATTACAACAAAAATTAAATTTACCCGGGTTAGGTATTCCTTGCTGACAAAACTCGAAATTATTTAAATACTGTTGCAATAAAAACTACCACGTAATAAATTCATCATCCCTGAAATGTCAACTACCTAAAATAATACCTGTAATTATTTTTTTTTCAGTTCAGCCCTCTGGTTAATATATGGACATGCAACGGAGTGCAGTAAACTAGTACAAGCAAACCTCGTTGGCTTATTCTTGATGTGTGGCTATACTACTGTTTTCTACTTTTATACGTTGAAAAAAGCTATAGTCGTGAAGCAAAGTGCTGCAATTTTTTTAATTTTTAGCCTGTTTTTATTTAATTTGAACAACATAAAACTTTACCAACATTTAGGTAGGCATGAGAATCTTTTTGTTTTTTTTTGTTCAGAACTCATTTTATCATCATTGATACTCACCTTATAGGGTGTATTTCTGGAGACGTAACTAATTGTGGAGAATCGATAGAAAATTTAAATTAGTTCCATTATATTATATTACATTAATATATTCTGAAAAGATTTTTTACTGTTAATATTCCTTCCAGGTCTTCTGTCAACTATATTTGCAACATTGACTGTAGCTGAACCATTGCACAAATTGATTTTTGCTATCCATGCAAAGAACACACAATGCTTTTCAGTCCCCTCAACATTGATGTCTGTTTTAGTTACCGCTCTTTGGACAATATATGGATTTTTAATTATCGACTTCATGTTGACGGTAATTTTTTTGCAATTTATTTAAAAGTACTTGACATGGTTCGTTTTGTAAATATATTACTGCATTGTTGTAGGAGAGAAACCTGTGTTTTTTTAAAGATGAAATATGTGTTCAGTTTCAATCAAAAGCCAAAAAACGGTTTATTTGATATTACACGCATTCTATATGCTTGCCACACTTAACATAATTTACCTGCTAATTTTTTGTGTTCGCTTTTTCAAAATCACTATTTTCTTTATTGTTCCAGGTTGTTAACATAGCAGGTTTTACAGTGGGATTACTGCAACTAGCTTTGTTAAACTTTTATTCACGTGAATCTTCAACATTTATAGTACCCAAACATATCTGAAATTTTAATTAATAAAACCAAGGTTCCTTAGTAACAAGAGTGGTTCACCGATTTCAGTTTTCTTTCATAAATTATATGTATAGTTAATTTCCTTAGATTATGTTCTAGTTAATTTAGCACTAGTAATATAATATTAATAGTACGCTAACTCTATTTCAATAAGTAAATAAAATCTAAGTTTTGTGTTTTTATACTGTGATTATTAAAGACTATCATTAAACACCATTTTTCCTTAATAATATTAAATTATTATAAATTACTTACGATATCAAATGTGTAGTCTTGTTATATTAAAGCAGATTCTTGTTTGAAGTGAATACAGCGTGGTATTATCCGCTGGCTGTTCGGTAGATTCCCTTGTTCGTGACTGTGCTAACCAAACGTTGTGTATTTATACATTACATATTTAAAATTATACTAATATATTTCTGCCGATATTTCTCCAAACTTATGCCTACGCTTGAATACCAAGTGTTTTCACATACTTAATCTACTTTTACCAAAAAGTACAATTACATCAGCACTAAATAAATTTAATCAAGATTCAAGAGATAGCATTCGATAGAAATCTGAATCCACCACTGACAGTTGATAGAAGTACTTGTTTCTAAAGGCTTATCATAGGCCCTCGATAATCATAAAGAATCATCAGAAATCTGCATTGAAATCAAAAAGTTGTAGTTACAGTAGAGAATGGCATAACACAATAATAAAAAATAATTTTTTACTATTATAATTAAATAATATTTTTGATGATTGTATTATACATATCATCAAGGCTGTATATCGTAGCCACTTGTCTATATATATATACACACAGACAGTGGTGGTCATAGAATTAAATAATGGTACCTGTATATAATTTTATTTATTAAAATCACAATCACTCAGTTACTTCCCGGAACACTGGCTGGCAAATAAATAAGAACTAAAATATAATTTTCTTTTTTACTACTTTGAAAATGGAATGCGTTAATTCATCATTACTAGTTTTGTGACCTTTGCGCGGCATTGTTGATTTGAGAACGGTTTATGCAATTATTTATAGAAAATAGTTGGAAAAAATAAATCTTGTGACTCTGCTACAAGAGAAGTTATAATAAAGCTACGTGGTCGTAAGTGGTTATATCAGAAAATTGTAGATCATTTGCTCAAAAACGAAGGTGTATAAGACCGTGAAACTTTTTAAAACACACAAGACTTCTATGAATATTCCCCGTAAACCTAAAGAAAGAAAAACGTCTTCACGAGAAAATTCAAGAACAGTTAATCTCGCTAAGCAGAACCCATTCAAGGGCTCAAATCAAATAAACAACGAAGTTTTTGGTGAGAACAATAAGTACGCACCGTTCAAAGACGCTTGGTGGAGTCACATTTATTTGGGAGAGTAACAAGGAAGGTGCCCATGTTGATACCACGACATATACGACTTGCGTTTGCAAGGAAGTATGAACACTGGACAGAGGCGCAGTGGAAGTTGTACTTTTCTCGGATGAAACTAAAATTAACAGACTATGCTCTGATGGCAAGCAGTACTTTTTTTTATTTGGGGTCACACTTGGTCCTAAACAATGCCATAACATGCAGGTAAAGTGGACTGTAATGTATTGACTTACGCCCACGGGCGTCTTCATAACATTACCGCCTTATGGCGGATTTTATTTCTCTTATACATTATGATTAAGCAAAGTTTTAATACTCGAAGAATCTGAATAATTTCATATAAGTTTGAAGCATACAAAAAAACTTATAGATTGCTAAATTAATATTATAAACTCAAATTCTGTTTGCGCTTTCGTGCAATGCATTCGATTCGTATTCGTTCCGAATCCGAGACTATCCAAATCTAAAAAACTCGGGCCCACCTCGAATGTCGCTTGTGTATATTGATTGGTCATGTAAAAATTTCCATTTCGAAAAAATCATAATTTTTCAGTAAAATAAATATATTTCCGGATAGTTTTCCAGTATTTTTCCTTTAATTTTCCACATTAGACTTTGACACCTGTCAAAAGTTGAAATTATTGAACGAAAACAATGGAGCCACTATGGGTCGTATTCTAGAACTCTATTCAATGCTCAAGTCAGGATTGCACTGGCAACACAAGCACTGGAAATACGACCCTAATGGCAGGGACTTGAGTATGATTTCGAGTGCTTTAAACCATACTCAAATCCTGACTTGAGCATTGAGTAAAGTTCTAGAATACGACCCTACGAGTCGTATTCCAGAACTCTACTCAATGCTCAAGTCAGGTCTTGAGTACGATTTCAAGCACTGGAAATACTACCTTAATGGCAAGGACTTGAGTATGATTTCCAGTGCTTGAAATCAAATCATTTTATATCTCGTTTTTCTATAAGCGACGTAGTTCACTAAGTAGCCTGTCTATAAGTGGCTTTTAGTATAGATAAGTTTATTTTATAATTCACGTTAAATAAAACTTCAAAAGATATTTCTAAACGTAGAACATATAGAACATAATACGAGCCTTCCAAATTAAATTTATCAATTTTTTCCGGAAAAAATGCCACTATTTGAATTTTTTTTGGAAAATTGCCCAACAGTATGTCCACTACGTTCCTTATATCCATAGCTCTAAATTAAAATTTTAGTGACGTTGATCTGTGTCTTGTTATTTTTGTCTCACAGATTCGCTCTGGACCTTTTGGAGGGAAAAGTGTCGTTTTTATTTTGACTTTCAATTATTTTGTGAAATCTAGTTTAAAGTGGAATAGGATAGTGCTATTGTGCCTTAATCGAAGATTAAAACGCGAAATTATACGAATCTCGAACTAAAATACCCGTATCGGCCCGTTTTAAGGAATCCCGAGTCAATCTAAGCACGCCACCGCATTAAATTGCCTATCCTCTTTGTGGCGGCCATATTTACAGAAACATAATTAAACTTCATGTTTAGGCTAATGGCTTTGCCAAAGCCTTAATAAATTAAAAAAAAAAAATTTTTGTCTTACGCTTGTCATTGTCAGATTGTCGCTTGCATTGAATTTTTGCACTTGTAATTTGCATGTGATTTGCATTGATAAAATTGATAATACCACCGAGTTCTATAATATATACTGAAAGTTCTGTTTGTTCATAATGATTTATTAAAGATGGGAAATTTTCCTAGTGCTAATTAATGGAAAGTAAATAAATAAAAAAGTGAAGTGAAAAACACAATATTCAGCCTAAAAATGAAATTATTTAACAGTTTTACATTGAATTTATTAGAAGCAAAGGAATGTATTGGGAATTTAGCTGTGATTACGACAATACTGCAGTTTTTGTCCGGCGTGTAAGTAACACGACTTGTTGAAATTTCAATTAATATATTGATAAGATTCTACATAACTTATTATTGTTTTGTTTATTGCAGCCTCGTATGCAAGCAATATATGACAAATAAAACGACCGGGGAAGCTTCCGTGCTGCCATTTCTTAGTTGCATATTATCGTAAGTGTTGCTTCAATAAATGTTTGATTCAGTGTACACTGTAATGATTACTTCGAGAAATTGATTATTTAAAATATATTTAAAATTAGTAGTTAGTAGTCTGATATTATTTTTAACGGATTTCTCTTACAGTTTTTATCACTTTGCCATAAAATGACTACTTATTACAAACTTCTCATTTTATTTCAGGTCTTTATTCTGGTTATTATATGGTCATGTCAAACATGATGAAAAAATAATTCTGGTGAATGTTATAGGAATAATTCTTATGAGTGCCTATACAGGTGTTTTCTACGTTTACACATTAAAAAAAACCATTGTTGTAAAACAATGTGTAGCATCTTGCGTTATTTTCATATGTATTATATCATATATTAGTGGAGATAAGGATCATGAAACTTTTTTTAACCATTTAGGTATGTACAGGTATCAAATAAGGCGCTTCAGAACAAAAACTGATAAATCGGATTGAATGGATTTGTCGCATTGTGTTCAGATATGGACATTTGAAACATTTTTAAACCAGATTTAGTGGTTGGTGTTTGGGTTGAATAAATTATTCATAGATATGAACAAAAACTGGGCAATTAAGCAAAAAGAAATATTAAAAATGTGACTTAACAGTTTTTGTTCTGATGCTCTTCAGTCATTAAATGTTTGTGTTTGAGTAGATTTTTGGGTGCAAACCAGTATGTACACTGACATTTTATGTTATATTCATCAAACTGTATGTGTTGTGGTTGTAGTTGGAACATACAACTCATCCATCATCATACAAGTTGTCATGAAAGTGAATACCTGCTGTATGTTTGAATGCATTGTCATATTGGCAGAAGGTACATGATTCTTGTAGATCGGCATGGCCAGCGATGAATGTCAACCATACCAATTGCTTGATCTCAAACTAGGCAATTCCCTGTACTATGAGTACCAGAGCCATGGAATTTTGGGACACTTTTCAGAACACCCAGACCTGAACAAATTTAGTAAAGGTCATTTCCAAAATGGGTCCTACTGGAACCTCCACATCCAGCGCCAACAAGGTAAACTGTTAGGCCACCAAGGTTGTCATGGTGGATAGTGGTACTGCAGTGTGTATTTGATATTTGCTATTTAAAAGCAAGTTTTGGAAATTCAATAATCTTGTTAAGATACAAAGTCAGTCTTTATTATACATATATGAGTATATTACACAAACAGATTCTTCACTTCTTAGTGTATTGTAAAGTTAGAAATAAATCTTTTCATACACATTTCTATTCTGTACAGAGAAATGAAACTAGCTTTCTCCAGTATCCTTACCTAATTTTCTTCCCAATATTTGACAAGTTCCGTGGTTGAGTGGCTTGCACATCAGTTTTCATGGTGTTTCGGAGGCCCTGGGTGCGATGCCTGGCCGGGCAATGTAGATAATGTGTGGGTTTGGGTGTTACAAGTATCATCATTTCCGATTCCCATAACAGTGCTTTAGTTATTTACTTTGGGCTTGGAGCAACACATTTGATGTTGTCCAATATTTATTTATGTAATTTATTTATAATTTATTTAATATTATTATTGACTGGTAAGATTATGTGTCAAAAATATTTTCTTTTTATAAAAGACTCAATGAAGCCCTAAATATTTTTAAATTTCAGGTATTCTTGCAACAATTTTCACATTATTGAATATAGCAGCACCCATGAGCAAACTGTTGTATGTTATAAGAGTGAAGAACACTGAATGTCTTCCATTTCCCATAATATTGATGACACTAGTTGTCACAACGCTCTGGGCCATATATGGAGCTTTGAGTGATGACTTCTTTTTGACGGTATTTTTTTATTTACTAGGTCATTCCCTATCACGAGTAGTGCTGAAAATTATACTGTAATATGTATGTGAAGTTATAACCCGCATAAATTGGGCCAACACTGTTGTAGAAATCTATATGCTCAGTATATTATTTTTATAGTTCATAATGAGTTTCAACATATGAGTGTATTTAAAAGGAATTTGATAGGGAAGTAGTAATAATAAAATAATTAATTTATCTCAACAACATAATAAGGTTGTCTATCATCAATCTGCACTGATGATAGCCAAACTGTATACTTTAATTGAGATAGTATAAGAAAAACCGTCTACTTAAGTGGCAAGGTTTTTTAATAGAAGCTCGGTTTGTGTTTTTATATGTTTATTTTAATTAATTTAATTTCTTTGTTCTAGATGGTCAACTTCACTGGTGCAGTGTTGGCGTTAGTTCAATTGTCATTATTCCTCATATACCCGAGTATACCTACCTTACCACTTCTACCCAAACATATTTGAACACTTAGGAAAACAACCTGCACTTAAAGAAATACATACGATGCTGTCATGCTTCAGAACTGGTATGATCTCGATTTAATTTTTGAAGTAAAACTGCATTTACTTTTTTAATATGTATTAGTTAATTATTTTGGCCGATATATTGCCGTTTAATTAAACATTAATTTTAAAAAAAGGTGCTACAAGTGAAAGTTTTAATGGCTTACTTTCACAACTTATTAAATGAACATCTTTAAAAATTTGAATTTGGTGTTTGACGGGTGTTTAAGCATCTAAAGTTATGTGACATTGCTTGGGTATAGTACATATTGCATAAAATCAAATTTTATTTATTTCGACGTTCCTTCGAGACCATGGACGTTGCAATACGTCCGAAACGTCGAGGTAAATAAAGTATGTTTTGATACACGATTAATCCCTTTGCCTAAAGAAAGGCATTTCAATGCCTTAGCTAGCTGTCAGCTTGACACAGGCTCTGGACAAGCAATTAATCAATGATCTTATTCACACAATGTTTGTATATAAAAATAACGGGTATGATGAGTTCGTATAGATCTTTAATAGTTAGATTACTGTACATATGTTACATTCTTGCATATGTAACTGACTTTATGATTATGTTTTCTAGAATACTTATTTAAAATATTAACAAGGCAAAGAAGTATTATTAGGAAATAGATAGTTACTGTACATAGAAACATATTGCTCTTTTTACATCAAACTACGTATAAAATAATGGATTCGTGTTTCGTAAAAAATGCAATTTTTTAAGATTGTAAGTTAAAAGAAATTAGAAAAAACGACGCGTCGCTTGCGAAAGCATTCAACCAACCATATCGACGAATCCATTAGTGGTACAAAAAATGTCTCGGGTCGATTTTGAAAATTTTCAGATTTCTATTTTGCGGAATATAATTGGCAGTATAAAGGTTAGGTTTACAAAAATAATAACAATGATACTGGTAATGGAACTCTTTTCTTTTCAAGATTCTAGAAGCTCAAGCCCATTATATCTGTTATGAGAAAGCGAAGATGATTTATTGCATGAATTTAGTTCTCGACAAAACCTCGCCAACAAAATCACAGCGTTAGCTAGATACTACTCAATATATTTATAATAATATAATATTTATTAATCCGAATTTTGCAAATGTGTGTAACGTCATGTGGAGTTTATGTGTACGCGATCACATTCTTCAATATTTTTTAAATATTATAAAGGCTCATGCCTTTCCTGTCCCACTGCTTGGCAAAAGCCTCTCTCCTCTTTTTCCATTGAACTCGGTTTTGGGCAACATCTGGTTAGTCCTGGAAAAAGGAGTCTAAATTTTTAAATTTAGTATAACAATTTTCAAGTTTTCTTAATTTCGTAAGAATTTAAGTGGGAGCACTGATATTTATTCCAAAATTTTGAATTGGTGAGTTGTCGTTCGGTTTGACGTGAAATGAGCGATATGGGGCTCTTTAAATATATTACGAAATCTTGTGCGTCATAGAAACAAAGGGTGACTTTTTGGGTATGAGACGAATTTTAGAGGTAATAGTGCGGTCAACAGTACTCTGCTTCACACATTATTATTATACTCTATGCCACAGGTCCAAAGGCTAAGGGCCTATGCACACGGCGTACTTTTTACGTGCGGACGACGCGCAATTACGGGGCGCCCGCCCCGCCGTAGAGACTCAATAAAACATTATTACATTATTATTAAACAAAAGTTTACTAGCTGCGACTGAACCGCGTAAACGCGCAGCATCTGCGCGTAAAAAATACATCGTGTGCGTAGGCTAAAACCTCCGTGTGCTTTTTATTTATACTACACTTAGAATAATAACGCATAGAAACCTAGTCCGCTCACGCTAAGTGAGGCAAATTGAAGCGCGCCCAATGGGCCTACACGAGCGGGCGGGCCTTCAGTGCTCAAGGTCAACTTGCACCGCGAACAGATCTACAATTTTAGCTTAAAATGACGAAATGTGCGGTAAATGAGTGTAAAAATACGTCAGACAAACATAAAATAGATACTAACGTCACATTCCACAAGGAAGTAACGCGTTTCAACTTGTATTTTTATATAAATATTCACTAAAACCGAAAATTAACTTACTACTAAAACTAGCCTACATGAATTTGATTTTTGCCTCACTTGTGACAGTTCGTTTGATATGAAACTATCATTCTATGCGTTATTATTCTAAGATACTACAGTGACCTCTCAAACTGCGAAAAAAGTCCATTGTTCCATTCCTTTTGGTTGAATAAGTATAAACATTTTGCATGGAAACGCTAAATTGTATTTTAAGTAAAGACAAGCTTGTGTAATCGATTAGATATATATTTTTTCTAATTTCGTTATCAAAATAGTAAAATTGATTACCTAACGACTTTTTACTATTTTAGACAATTAAAGCTCTAAAAAACGCGCAAAAACAAATTACACTTTAAACTTTGTTATTTATAAAGTATCAAGTTTAACTGAGTATTCTTAAAATATTTCGTAGAATTGCATTTTTATTTAAGAGATTGTGGTTTTATACAAATGTACCCACCTATTTAATTCATAAGAAATATATATTTTTTAACTTTGTGTGTGATTAATTACATTAAATGTCATTTATTTATAACTCGTTATTACATGGCTTCCCATGACATATCAAATTAACAAGACTGTACCTATAATGTAGGCGCATATTTACATTTTTGTGTATGCTAAATAATGATCTCAGATTCGATGCTATTTACTGCTGAAAATGTTTGCTTTTCCTTTGAACATAGAATACGCAAAGAGCCTGATTTTGCGACACTGCATAATTAAAAACAAATTATATTTCGGCCAAGCCCGCAAAATCTGTATGATAATCCATTTTTTACCGCTACGTTAATCTTTTAAATATTGGGTTATAATTAAAATTCCGAAAAACAAAATTAAATGAAATTGCAGCGAACTGTGAGTAAGTGTAATACTAAACAAGCCGCGGTTAAATGTGTTACTTACTGAAAAATAAACATAGAATATACCGACAAAATGAATCATATTTACCAAACAATTAAGAACTTATTCAAATCACAATTAGGTATACGTAAAAAAAAAACAGTATTTCCGAATAATAATCTAAACCTCCGAAATAAATACTAACTTACCGATCTATTCCTACGTTGTCACTCATAATAGTCTTTCCGTGTGATAAATTAAGACGCAACAAAATATATGAAACATAAGTCGCTTTTAAATTTACAATAGGTGATTTACGATAAAAATGGCAAGTGTTCGGTAAAATATAAATTAAGTTGGTAGAGTATTATTACTTCAGTATTTTATTCGGTTATTTGCATATTTTTATTTGCACAAAAGTTTCCGGTAGCTTAATAAATGACGCGGTACTATTCATAACTTGAATAAGTTAATTTTTTACTTACCTTTCGGAGCTTTTATTACACCCATAAATATTTAACCAAAGCACATAACATCAAGGTTTCTTTAGTAGAAAAATTGAAGTCGTCCGCAGTGTCGGCTTTACGGCGCATACGGGCGCAGGGTCTGAGTGCTAAGCGCCGCTCGCAACACCTCCAAAAAGCCCGCGTAGTAAACGGGCTATTGCTTCCCAATAACATTAGCACCATTTGTATACGGATTTCCGAGCGCTGTGTATAGGGAAAATATAACTAAGTATTCCATTATAAATGCGTGCTAACGCGCCCGGTCCATTTTTCAAAGTACGAGTAGTGCGTGTTTTTTTCATATATTCAGGTCTATGGTTAGCTGAAAAATACACACATCAAAAGTGTCTAGGGATCAAGTGAATATTTTTGAAATAAAAATTATTTAAGCAATATTTACCAAATCCAGTCTTCCAGGACGACTTCTTACTTTAATGCTTATGTTTTATTTAACCACTTACCCCTATATTTAATTAAAATAAACTAAAATTGATGTTTTTGCAAATTGTGGGAAAAAACTCAAATTAACGGCGTCAATTAAATGACAAAAAAATGGCGAAAATGATGATTTTGCTCATTTTTATTGTAAAGATAAGAAAATTATTAATCTGTATTTCACCATTAACACGAATCACACAATTACAGCGATTTGGCATGCTTAAGATGAGTTCATCAAAATCACTTTGAGGAGCCCATGTGTTTTGTAACAAGTCAAAATATTGTTGTAGAGTATGTACGGTATGCATACTCGGCACAGCTCTTCTTTGAAGCATATCCCATGCGTGCTCAATTGGATTGAGGTCTGGCGATTGAGCAGGCCACGGCAGAACGTTGATACGAGCTTCGGCAAGAATGCGTGTTACGACTCTAGCCGTGTGTGGACGTGCGTTGTCATGCATTAGTTGAAATGAATCACCCAACTGGCCTCGCAAAGGGATGATAACATCTGAAACAGTCCTCTCTGCGTAAACTTGAGCATTGAGGTTACCCCTGATCCAAATGAGATCGGTTCTTCCGCCGATCCAAATACCGGCCCATATCATTATTGTTCCCCCACCATATGGATGAACTTCCTGACAATATCTCAAACGTTCATGACGTCCAGATGTTCCCCAAACTCGAGTACGTCTTGTATCCGGTCTCATACCGAAGCGGGATTCATCCGAAAAGCACACATAGCGCCAGTCTTCTTCCTCCCAGTTTCTGTGTTCGCGAGCCCATCGTAAACGGGTCCTGCGATTGCAGGGTGCAATAGGTCCTGTCTGCGAGTCGTGATGCGAGATCGTCCTCCATGTCGCTCGGCCACGCTGCCCGTCATGCGATAGCGCGTTCAGAGGCGACTTATGACGCTCTGTGTAGTGTTAAGAGTGAAAGCCACAGCACGTTGCCTGGAACCAGCTTCCAACATTCCGACGGCTCGCATCATCACTTCTCGGGTTAAATGATGTCGTCTCTCCATAATAATGTAAATTGTTTCGGTTCTGATGCAGATATTGTAATGATTTTGTCAAAACGCTATAACTCAATTTTATACAAAACCACATTGACAATCGATTTTCTTCTTATTATCGAATTTTAAACAATATTCCTTATTTAAATGTTAAAACTCACTAAAAAGTATCAATAGCGATACAAAAAAGTTAATATAATTAACCCTAATTGCAGCAATACTCTTAAACGTACTTGATCCCTAGACACTTTTGATGTGTGTATTTTAAAAAGTTATTTGTATTATGCTCGTATTACACAATGTATTCGATTTTCCCTTTTTAGTAGATAACTTATTTTTGTAAACATAATGCTGCTTTTCAAGAATAATGGCGCAAACCCAAATAGATCAGTTTTCGACTTATTACAAAATTGTATTCAGAAAGTGCTAAATTTTATGAATGGGACACCGCCTTTCCGTTCGTTAAAATAACAGGTGTTTCTGAGATATACTACCTTGAAATGCTATTCTTGAAAGCCATCGGTATTGTATAATTTTTTTGAATTTATATTGAGAATTATTATTATACTATAATAAGCCTCGGTGGAAACAGCAACTGCTTGACTCGTTTAACTCATACTCGTCCAGCAATTGCTTAGGTACTTACTTCATAAATGTTGACTATTATGTATATTCCACAGCTTGACAGCAATACCTTTAATGTGCCAACAAAATGATTGCAATGTGCGTGGTGTACAAAATGTATCTAGAACTGTAATAATGGTACCTATTTTGCATTTGCATTTTAATATAATTGTCGTTATTGAGAAAAAAAATCTATTTCAATTTATTAAATAAAAGTCGAAACAAAATTTTGTCTTTTTAATACACCTTTTATCTTTACCACATATACAAAACTCATGGTCATTTGGATTTATAACACAGCTGTCTCTTTTACTGTACCCAGATATTGTGTGTGTCCCTTCTAAAACTTTGTATTCGTTATTATATGCTTCAACTGAGACTTCAAACATCACATTTTGCGATGTTACCTTGAATGCTACTACATAATATGTTTTATTGTTATAATCATCTCGGTACGAATAATTCCGAAGAACAGTTTTTATCTTAAGAGGGATACATATCTTACATTTTTTAGTTTTTATTGTGTTTGTGAAATTGTTCAAGTACGAAATAGCTATTGCGGGGACGACACTGGCCATGTCATCATTATCAGGTACTTTGTTTAAAACATGACAGCTGCACCATTTCGCATCTACGTTTGCGTCGTCACAACTTCTATTTATTGATTTCTCCACAAACAAGCTACTGCACTGTGGGCAGGCCTCAGGAGGAACGGTGCTTACGTTGTTATTTGATAACTTTAGAATATCCCATAGCGTTGAATGCAAATCGTAGTGAGTAGCAAGACGAAATTGATTCAATTGCATGTTGTAATATTCTGATATGTGTTGTTTTCTAAATGAACTCGGAATCCACATAAAAAGCATTGGCAGCCGTTCCTCGTAAAATGATTCAACGGGTATTCTCATAGGGCCGTAACGTATTCCATGATCACTTAAGAATATAATGAGTGTATTGTTCAATACACCCTCACTGTCAAGCTTCTCGAAGAAATCGATGAGATGATCTTGCAAAAGTGTAGGTATATTGTTTGTGTTGTGACTATAGGAATTGATCCAAAATACTCCGAAGAACTTTTCGTTTTTATATGCATTTGATAACTGATAAGCATAGTCTAATAGATGTAGAGCAGATGGTTTCATTTTCGCACAAACAATATTGCCGTTAACATGTTCACCAGTGAGGAAAAATGGACGCGTGTAATGATCAGTGGGCGGTATCTTGAAACCTTTATGCCTAGCGAATGTGTCGGGTAATTTTAAATAATCTTCTCCATATGCGGTGACGTATCCATATTCTTTGTATTTACTCCAAATCATTAGATCATTGCAATAGTACATGCCTTTACCACATGCTGAGTAAATTGTGGATAATTTTTTGCCTGTCAGCGTAGTCATAACATTCGGGAAGGTGTTAAATCCTACCTGTGATATAAGTAAAATTAATTATTTTGTTTTCATTACGTAGTCAGTTCATTTGCATCAAATGAGCTCAGTTGATAACGGCCTATCTATTATTATAGAAATTAAATTAGAGTGACTTCGAATTAGACGCCTGTATTTAGCGCTACTAGTAATTTTTAGTTCACAAATTGTGACTGTAAAAGTGGCGCGCGCGTGTCACGACAGTGTTGCTGTAACTGCGCTTTTAAATAGTCTGAGAATCAGTAGTGGTGCGGCTGAAGTGGCACAGTGGCGCCACTGCAGTGCTTTTGTAGCGTCTAATTTGAAGGCACCTTTATACCACAAAAGTTACCTTTTGAAAAGCTCTGAAGTCTAGCCAATGGTTTGTTTCAAAATATTTCACCATTCTTGGCATACTATGGAACGCTCTAGCCCGAGACATTGTGTCCATTCCCAATAAGAGAACATTCCAAGATTTTTCTCCTGCTTTCGCTGAGTTTTCACCGTTTGTTTGTTTTTTGAGTAGAATAAAGGCGTCTTTATAAATAGCCTCTCTCTTGGTACTCGGTTGTGGATGGCACGTTACTATAATCACTTCATTGTCAAATGATACTTTTGTACCGTTTTGGAATGGACTGCAAGAGGTATATCTGAAAATGAAAGTATTATTTCATCTTTCTTTCTTATCTAATTTGGATACCTTCTTTTGTGCTCTCTATATCACGACTCGTTTATTAAAAACTGGGCACTTTATGCAACTCTGTATAATCAAAGTCTATAAGGCAATAGAATTAGGCATTCACTGCCAGCGAGTTGTCCTTATAATTATTTATAACGTATGTGGAAAATAATATTATACATAGATATTTGTGTAGTAGGTAAATATATAGTAATTGCGTGCGTCTATTTTTTTTATTAAAAAAAATTCAATAGGTGTACCTTTGGTTGAACTATACTTTTTTTTTACTTGCAGTATACACATGCATGGTACACTGAAAGAAAACACCTTTGTGAGCAGGTTACCAAATTCTCAACTCACCATATTCTCAGTACACCACATGCTCATCTTACCACGTACTCAGTTGAGTGTTGTCATGTTTTCAGGTTATTACACCCTCATTTCACTACGTCTTCAACACGCCATATTTATTCTCACCATGTCCTCAACTCACCATATTCTTAACATTTTCTTTGCTCATCGTATTACAAATGTACAATCACTATCATAAACATCTCACGTTGTACATTTTGCAGGAATATAAAGCTTTATATTTATATTTTTATATATTTTGCCTGCATATATTTTGGCACCCATCTCAATATTTTTAATGGTGAAACTTGTCAATCCTGATTTCAGTTAACCGGACTTGGCCTCTTTTTCACATTTATGATTTTGGCGCGATATAACAGTTTTATGAAAGTTTGTAGATATTTATCAAAGGTTGTTATTAACTAAAATGGTTAATGTTGTGTTCTACGCTTGGTTTTTTCTTTCGTTTTAGAATAATATCTAATAATAATAATAATAACGCACACACTCAACATAGCCCCGCACTAGGGAAACCCTGTGTCGCGGCTGCCATAGACAACCACAAATTACACCCAAACTCACGAGATAAATAAATGTAGGCCATACAAATATTTCTCCTGGTCCGGGAATCGAACCTGGGCCCTCTGTGTGGCAGTCCCGCATGGTAACCGTTCAGTCACGGAGGCAGTGAATACTTACACCTGGTAATGAATGTCACTGACTTAATTGATTTTTGTCATCTGGCTATTGATTCTTGTTTACAGTCATATGTATACCGAGTTTATCGAACAGTGGGAGAGTGATTGTAAGTGGTATACTATGGATTTCAACATGAATAATAGTGATATTTAATTTATTACCAGTAAAGGGGCACACTGATATTCTGCATGCAGTTTATAAGGATGATTTCAATTATAAAAAGAAAGCGGGTGGCATAGATTTGGCGGGTAGGTACCTATTAGCAATTGGAGACACATTAATTACCTTGGATATCAATAAATTCATTCTAAGGACGGCATTAATGTGCTCCAGGTACGAAATATGATTGACTTGACGAATGTAAAAAGGTTGTGTTAATTTAGGCTCTGTGCCCAAAATATTTCAGAAAAATTTCTTGATGTGTCTAAGTTTGAAATGGCGAAGCATGCAATTCCTACGCTTTCGTCAAAAAAGGATACTTTATACAGGGCTCGAGAAAAATATTTCAATATACTTATACTTAGAGGTTTGATTACCAATATTGAAGATGTGAAATTACCGAAACATATTGTTGAAAATTTCTTTAGGTATGATGAAATTGAAGATAAAATCATATTTTTTGGTAGCTCATCAGCAAAAGAAAAGTTGAAATCTGTCACTACATTTTATGGGAATGGGACTTTCCGAGCACTTCTAAGCCATTTCATAAAATTTTTAAACTACATGCAGACATAGCATACAACGAAAGTGACATTTGCCATTACGTAGTTTAAATGTGTTCCCTCCATGTTCTTTCCTAACAAAAGACAAAATACCTTCAAAATGCAATGGTGAAATTGCAGGCACATGTGACTTGTTAAATTATGTCTCAGGGTGACGGTGACATAATTTCAGTGCCCTTCAGATCTTTGTGATTTAAAGCTCTGAGTAGCACTGCAACTGTTATGGATAGGCGTGTCGCTTACCAACAGGCGCACGACTTGTTCGTCCCGTCACTTGGTATCTTAACAAAAAAATATAGACGATTATTTTTGGTACTTAAGGAATAATTCTGTACCCTCCGTGAAAAGTGCTAAGTCAGAAATTCGGTATGAGAAAAACGGATTTGAAAAATTTTGATCTTTGTAGGCTCATAATTTTTTAGTTAGGGTAGACCGGAGGCAAAAGTAACAGGGGGCAATTGAAACATTGTCTAAGTTTCGAAAATGGTCAGTCCTTATACCGCGTGTGTGCTTGTAGGTACTTGCTCCTCAGACAAGTTCCGTCTTTTATTTAGTCGAGCGCCGGCAGCGCTTGGTGCAATCGACTGTTATAGGCCGTTTTGTATTTCTGTGTCTTCAAGTTAAGAATATATTGATTTTTAAACACAAATAATTGGACTTTTAACGAAGAATTTGTATGTGTAAGATGATAACTAGTTTCTAAAAGATCAAAGATTGTGGTAATATTAGGTACCTACTGTGTGTATGTATTTTACAGTAGTTTTGAAGATAATGAATAGTCTTCTCTAATACGTCCATTGGTGCAGTTGTAATACATATTCCGGAGGCAATTGTGACGTTACAATTGACCCACTGTTATAGTTGACGCTGTGAGCTTTTTTTATTGTTTTATAAATCGACCAAATCCAAATATTAAAATTTTAGGATGTATAACAAATAAATTTATTTACTAATTAGTTTATTTACTTATTAAATAGTTCTTTGTACAGCACAAGCGTAAAGACACACCTTTTAATTGCAGCATATTATTTAAAAAAAATGCAAATTAACTTGGACATTCTAAAAATGCTCTAGTATCATTATTAATACGAGTAGATACCTTCTATTAACAACTTCATTTGCACCGCAGGCAGAGGAGAAGTGCTAAGAATAAAGAGCACAGGTTTACGGACAAGCCATTCTTTTGAATGGTCTGCAACCATTATTATATTGTAATCTGTGATATGGTAACAGATACATTAGTATTATGTTCTGGGCGTAATAGTAACAGAGGGGGCAGTTGTCACAAACAGCATCTCATTCAAACTAAAAACTAATTTTAGAGTACAACATTTTGCATTTAGGTTAACTGTGTTTAGATTAGGTATATTAGTACAAGTTTTCTGGCTAAATTTTAAATTCCTGGCCATAAAAAGCATTGTCATTAAAATGAAGACTACTATTATTATTTGTTTTTACATGTTTTTAATTGTCAGTATTATCAATTGTGTCATATCTCATTAAAAGAAGACTGAAATGAAGTTCCTGTTAATAATAAAAATATTCGTACTTTTCTATATTTTCGCTGCGTTTTATTGTTTTCAAATGGTGTTACTTTTGTACCAGGGTAGGAGGCATTAGTAACCAATCCCCGTCTCACAAAAACTTTAAAGTCTACATTTTCCAAGCATAACATCGAATAATCACTAACGAATGTTTGTAGCCAAATATATTTACCTTACCTTACACGGGAAATGTTTTAAGGATACGTTAAAGCAGCTCTGTAATAGAAGCGTGCGTAAAAATCATTGAATGATTTTAAGGAGGGTACAGAGTTAGTAATGTGTTGATATCAAACTGTACAAATGTGACTTGAAATTGCGGCGATGCAAGCTATTAAAGAAACGCTACTGGTAGAACCACGGGCAAAAAACTTAGCTCTTGGTCCTACTAGTTGGACTACGTAGTTGGACCACGGGCAATGAATCTTTCCTGACGCGATTGTTAAGGGTAGCTATTGCCATTTTCAAAATGCAGCATGGAGAATTGGTAAAAAAATTGGTTTAACCAATACAGTACAATGTAAAATTGCACATCTTGTTTTAGGTACTCTCCTTGATATTAATAATACCAATACAGTATTTCTGAAATCGAAAATATTATAAGAAATTATAATGAAATCTTTCCGATTTTCATAACACAAGTGCTTTAGTTAGTGTTAGTGTGGGTTCAGAGCAACGTACCTATGTGATGTCCAATATTTATATTTAATATTAATGTGAGTAATTTGTCTTGTAAGTTAAAATTGAAGATTGCATTAAACAAGTTCGTGAACAACGTACAACAACACAAGTAGTGAGATGAAAATTTGGTACCCTAAAAACAAAGCAGTAAAAATTTATGGATAAACATACTCACGTTATTGCAATGTCTTCTTTGTTTGGAACAGTAGACCGCAAGGCAAATTGATAACAGCATTTGTAACCTTCTTTTCCTAAAAGATTTTTCTCGAAATTCTGTTCTACTATAAAAAATGTGATGATGTCACGTGCAGTGTTTTCTATGAACACGGCACGTTTACCACATTGATTTTTATAATCCTTTGCTTCTATGTAACGAAAATCTCTTGAGAAGTTGGGTATTGTACACCCAGGAGTTTCAATTAGATATATGTCGCTAACTGGAAGAAAATAAATTTCAGGATTTACAACATTCGGCTGTTGCCGCATATTAAGGAATAGCGCTTTACTTATGAACCTTTACTTTTTCTGGAATGAGATACTTTCGGAAATGACTCTATGTTGTGTAGATTTATACTGTGCATCAAAATATAAATTTGTGAAATAAACTCCTTTTCTGGAACGAATAGTAAAGTATTTATACAGGGGGCAATAAAAGTAACCGACTTTAATTTCAATTGGTGGTTGTAATAATGTTAAGAAACAAACGTAGCAAAAAAATAAGATCGTGAATAAAAGTGCGATTGCCCGCATTTAGCTTAGGAATTTTTTTCACAACTTTTTTGAACCCTCCGTGAAAAGTGCGCTAAGTCAGAAATTCGTGTTTTGAGAAAAACGGATTTGAAAAATTTGAATCTTTGTAGGCTCGTAACTTTTTAGTTATGTGTTCTAGTTTTGAACGAGTTACTTTTCTTAAAAAGGAATTTAAGTGTCAATATTGTGGTTTATCAATAATTAAATGTAACTTTACATATTCTCAGCAAGTAACAATTAAAGCAAATTGTATCATTTGTCACTTTAAATCGTGGTTGTGTTAGATGATTTATTACAAATTGTATCAATTTACACGGCGTGTGGTGACTTGGTAAACAATGAAATGTAAATAAGTTCAAATAGATTTATTTAGTTACCTATTAAGATTACAAGAATCTTGACGAACAAAATTGTAATTAAAATTAATAGGCTTTTTGCGAATCAGTTGAAATAGATGTGTGAAATAGATGAATGTATCACATAAACTCAAGTTTTGTGTATACCTTTAATTACTAATATTCATATTAAGATGTCACAGTGCGTGCAAATAAAATGCATTATTTTAAGTCCTTATGTATTATTGTTGTAATAACTATAAAAATCAACATCATTAGAATAGTTTTTGCAAGTAGGTAGAATAAACTTCTACTTTTACATATTATAAAATAAAAAAGACTCATTAGCATTTTAGGAATTCACGAAAATAGATCTTCAGTCAAGTTTAATACCTAGATAACAATAGGTAATAATTTGTTTATTTAGTTAGTAATTATCATGCCACTTTGATCTTACATGTTTAAGTCTACTTTTAAGATCTACAATAAAATTAAATAACAACTACATCGTCTTTGGCAGCGATACCTATTAAAATACTATATACTAAGCAAAGTAAAATTTAAACAATAAATAGAAAAGTGAAGCAAAGTAATCAATCCTTAATTTGTTTTTGAACTGACATAAAAACGCTTATTGACTGTCATTCAAAATAATAAAGTAAATGAAACTATTTTCTATAATTCCAAAACCAGTGTTCGGAAACAAAAAAAAATTCTAATAATTATCACCATAATAATCTTGCTCCGCTGTAGGATCGGAATCTACAGTATCTGAATCTATATCTTGTTTTAGTGCTGCTGTAGGCAAGAGTCCAACGTAACATTTGTTTACAACTCTATCCGAATGTGTCTTTTTGTATCTTTTCGCATACGACGTGGAAACGTAGTTAATATTATTGTAACTTTCTTTGAATTCGAATGTAGGGAATTGATCTTTGGTATCTTTCCAAATTTTGCATTTGACCACACAATCTTGATACCAATCTCTTGGATGGTATATACTTATAGACGTTCGTATTTTATTAAGGATGGTTGATGACCGTTTAATAAGGCAATAAAAAAAATTCAAGATTTCGACGATGGTTTTTGAAAGAATCTTTTGGTTCTGAAACTTTGGACAATTTATTACGTTTTGAATTTTAGAAAATAGTTTGATTTAAATTATTATTTTTAATGACAGTCAATATGCGTTTTTATGTCAGTTTAAAACAAATTAAGAAGGACTGATTACTTCACATTTCTATTTATTGTTTTAATTCTACTTTGCTTAGTATATTGTATTTTAATAAGTATCGTTGCCAGTGACGATATAATTGTTATTTAATTTTTGATCTAGAAAAGATGACTTAGGGTCGTATTCTAGAAATCTACTCAATGCTCAGTCAGGATTGCAATGGAAACACAAACACTGGAAATACGACCCTAATGGTAGGTACTTGAGTATGATTTCGAGTGCTTTAAACCATACTCAAATCCTGACTTGAGCATTGAGTAGAGTTCTAGAATACGACCCTTAAACACGTAAGATCGACCCCTGTCTATAAGCATTTACAATCTCCTTTCTCTTTCAAACTTATCTACCTATAAAGAGATAGACTGATTAGAATTATGAATTATATCACTTTATGCTTTTGATTTAAATAAATTACAAATACACAAAAACTTCGAACATTTTTGATACAAGTTAAATATGAATGAATAAAATATGAAATCTTTCATTTCAAAGGAAGGTTTGTGTAAATTAATACAACATTTATGGTATTAGGACACACAAACATCTTTGCATTGTAGCCGATTTTTATAATGATATTTAAATACTTGTATATAGCTTTAATCACAAGGTGATTGATTTTCATTCGGTCGTGTATAATCATATAACTACAATACAATCAGTATTCACAATCGCAAATTAATGAAAGCTCAATTCTTTACACTTAGAATTTAGGCATGACGTACGAAATTGAAATATGTGCGTATAAATTTATATCACATTATACAAAAAACTAGTTACATTTTCTGGAAAAGGGTGACTTATATCATTATACACGAAAATTATCTTCGGTTCTAGAGCAGATAAAGTAGTGGTGATCAGATAAAAAGATGCATCATTTTACACAAATGACGAATCTTTAAAAAAACGAATATTGATACAAGCCTAGTTAGCGCGTTTTTCACGGAGGGTACAGAGTTATTTATTGACATTTGTACGATCATCAGCTGCAACATAATCGGGACTCTTTGTTACGCTCTATATACAATTTTAATACAATACTTATAAAGTGATAAATTAGTAGGTACCTACTTATACCTGACACGCATAGTTGTTACTTCGATGCCTGCCACACATTTCCCATGACAACCACACCCTTGCTAATCACTTACCATTTCCATTTGTTACATTGTATACTAAAACTTTCCTTTTCCCTATTAGACTAGATATGTACGGCTGTAGTAGCTGTGTGAGTACATTGTAGTAGAATAAATAAAGCACCAACCACAACACCAACAATAGTAACACATTTTTTCGATGTATATCAAAGGATTTGTGCATCGCGGAATTCTGAAACACGAGATAATCAAATGTCAACCAAGTCATCGATGTAAGTAAGTAGGTACGATTATGATACCACTAATAATTTTTAATTGGTAAGAATGGATACAGGTAAAGGGATTTTAAGGATTCGTATATGTACTTTGTCTGATAGCATTAAGAAATTGGAACTGTGATTATAACATACCTATAGTTATGACTGTAAAGTGCTAAAAATGTATCTCTCAATGAACCAGTCCATTTTAAACCCAACTACGTTCATCCTGTCACGTTATTTGATATTACTATCGCAAAAAGGGAAACCCGGTTGATAAGCTGTAACTAATAGAGCGTGCCCAGCAAAATTTCATAGAATTTCACGACGTCATTGTTTTCTCAGCATCAAATTCTTTTGCTATCTTAAAAACTGTAAATTTTAAATTGTAATTTGTCAATTTTTAATGCATACATCATTAAACCTGGTAAACTACATTTGATGTTTCCTATTCAATTTAAAAACCTAGCTACTTTCAACTCTACCTTTTAGAGATAAAACAGTTAATATTCTGTCAACATGCACTAACGTGGAGTAGAAAAAATATCATGTTAAAGAAATATTTATCAAGAGGCTGACTTAATTATATTGATCAAATCCACCGGAATATGAGAAACAAAGAAGATATAATGTTCTAAAAAATGAGATCTGTATACTATCACGTACTTATGAATCTTATGATGACAATTGAAGGTGCAATATAAAACCACGCGTACCGAAGTTCAGCTGCGTAATTTCGGCGTTTAACATTTCATTCAATCAGCAACCACCAACGATATTTATGTAGTAGCGTACTCGTGTACTTGCGATCACTGACTAAAGGAAAACATCACCGAAATTGCGCATTGAATTTTCGGCAAGTGGACCTAATATTTGGTTTTAATTGGTTTAACGTAATTTTACATTACGGTATGACCAATGATTCATTGGGTATGATCTACCGCATCTTGGACAATAAGACTTAAGTATTGCTAAAAGTATGTTTTAAATCCCATTGATCAACGATATCGATGTATTGATTGTGTTTCTCAATTATAATCTTAATGGTATGTGATGTAAGAAATAGAGAGCAGATAGTATATGTATATAAGCGTACTCACCTCAACGATCGTTTTTATAAAATTTAATTAGATGGAAACTATGTGTTTTCATTAGAGCAGTTGTCTTTCACACACAAAATAATTCCTTATTTCAAGTTCCCTCCATTTTATCCTATGAGTTGTTTCTTTTTATAACAAAATGGATTAAAAATATTTTTATTTGATATTACTAAAGTACATTAAAGTTTAATCAAATAATTTGTGCAATTTAAAAATTTATGGCTAGTATGTTTTATGTTTCTATAAGAATTATAGTTGTTATGGTTGTAGATATCACGATTAAATTATCAGTCACTTAGAAGAGCGTCCGGCGTTTGGCAGTTGCGATGTTTTACTGCGGTGCAGACCGAGGCCGTACCGACAATATGATGATATTCTTGACCAGATTGTGAATCATGAATAAATACACTATATATTCCTCCATTCATATTGGAATAACTAACTATGTCATTCCAAACTCCGTACTCACCGGTTTTCCTACTCTGGTTCATTCTAATCTTGAGCTTCTCAATTTTAATGACTCATTGCCGCTGTTTCATAGTGTGAAAATTGTGCGTACAATTAATTTGATTATTATTATATATGTATATATATATAAATTATAAATAAATGCTTTATTTATTTGTCATCTTATATTCATAACTTTCAATTGTACAGTTTTTCTTTTCTTGACAAACACAAAACAATCTATCTGCACGATTCGCTGTACACCGCCCTAAGCCTTTGTATGGAGATATGAAACTCACTTTGCCGACTATTTCAGCACTTGTACCTTTCCTTAAGACGGTGGCTTCGTAAGATAGGCCACCTGGAGTCATCGTGAATGCAACAACGTGGTATAAATTCACTTTATTGGCATCGTAGTAAAAATGTATTCTTAACACTTTTTTTAATGAGAGATCTCTACAGACCCAGCAGCGTTTCTTTCTTTCAGTTTTAACTTTTTTAACTTTTGACTTAATGTATGAGACCACGTGCATTGTACTCTTTATACCTTCCGGGTCCGCAGTGTCCAGAGGATATAATTTGTGACAACTGCACCACTTTTCATGAATGGCAGCATCCTGGCATGTGCGATTAGCACTAACAGTTAGGAACAAACTATGACAATTAGGACAAGCTTCAGAAACATTCATACTGTTAAAGTTATCGTTACAAACTGATAACCGATTTATATCCATTAATGTATTATGTAAGTCATAAGGGGTCACTAATCTGAACTGATTCTGAACTAAATTTTTAAATGCAGTAGGATGTTTCGCTTTGAACTTTAGTGGACTCCAAATAAACAAAAATGGTAACCGCTCATCATAATAAGATTCCATTGGCATACGATACTCGCCGAAACGTATACCATGATCACTGAATAATATGACGAATGTGTCTTTTAGTACACCTGTGTACGAGAGACGATTGAGAAAATTTTCAATTAGTATGTCCCCATCTTGTGGTCGGCTGTTAGGATTGTGGCTGAAGGAGTTTATCCAGAAAAAACCAAAGAAAGGTTGCTGTCTATAAGTAATGGTAAAGTCTAGAGCGAAATCGAGAAGATGTTGTGATGAAAATTGCTTTCCAGTGCAAACTGTTGAATAACTACTTTCTGTCTCGCCCATCAAAAATAGTGGCCTCAAGTAGTGGTCTGTTGGTGAGCGCAGAAACAGATAGTCGTCGTGAAAAGTATCAGGTAGTTTTACGTAGTCTTCACCATAGGCAGTTACATAACCGGCTTCCTTGAATTTACTCCAGATTAGTAAATGGTTACACTCATCCATTTTCCCTGAGCAGTTATCGTCGAGAACAGATAGGTTTTTACCTGTAAAAGCCGCCATCAAATTGGGAAATGTGTTATCACCCACCTAAAAATATAAAAGTTATTCAATAATGATTTGCATATATTATTTAGCAATGACTTGGTGAAATTGGTCTATTATTGAGTCAATTATTACCTTGTGGTAGCCTCTGAATGCCAACCAGAAATTATCTCGAAAGAAATTAATAGTTCGTTTCATAGTTTGTGCAAGTCGGGGCAAGGACATAGAGTCAATGCCAAGCATTAGTATGTTGTATTTATCCTTGCAATTATTCGTAGGTAGTTTAGTATTATGTACTTTTTTTGTAAATGCAAACATGTCTGTATATAAGGCACGAGAATTTGGATGTTTTATTCCATTTTTGAAGCACTTAACATTGATGAATTCCGTTTCCAATATAATGGTCATGCCATGTTTAAGTTTTTTACAAACTCCATATCTGAAAAATACGTATATCTATATACAAAATCATCACTTATTTTACGGTAGTGATCATACTGGCATTAAGTGTTATATAGCCCTTTTTACCATAATAACACATTTATACTCCACTGCAAACCACAAGTCACATAATATATCAACTCCACATACATCAACCCCTGACACCAGAGAGGTTCATCTTATTAACACCACTAGACCTCTCAACAAAAAGACAATTGAACCGGTGTTAGGAGGCTTGCGAGCGGCACCACCACGCATTGGTACGCTACACTTATTCAATTTTAGCGTCGACACCACATCCGAAGATATAAAGCAGCATCTACAATCTCGGCTGCGAATTAGTGGAGTATGCTGTGAGCGGCTGCCGACACGCGGAGAGTACGCGTCCTTTAAATTAGAGGTGCCAGCCAACAAAGTCCAATCTATACGAGATCCTGGATTATGGCCCGCCGGAGTATCAATTAGAAAGTTCAATACGATCACTCCAAAAAACTTAAGAAAAACACACGCGCGGCACGATCAGGGATAACCTCAAAACCGAGACACAAATCGAACATAACGATCTTACACCAAAATGTACGTTCTATTACTGGTAAAACGGGACTATTGAACATAATTTTAAACACACACGAACCTGACATTCTTGTATGTTCTGAAACCTGGTGCAAAAACAATGAAATACTACGCGTGAAGTTATCAGGGTACGAGCTCGCAAATTACTACTGTCGCCCGCGCATCAACCACGGCGGTGTAGCTATGTTTACAAAGCCAGGAATCTTATTTAAACAAAGAACGGACCTACAGAGTATTGGTGTTGAATATCATTGTGAAATTTGTGTAATTGAACTGTATTCGGAAAATATTGTTATTGTGGGTATTTATAGAACTGGAAACGGAGATTTTAAACAATTTCTATATTCAATAGAAAAATTATTGTCAACAATATTTGACGAAAATAAAAGGTTAATTTTGGTCGGCGACATAAACGTAGATTATTTAACCGACAACTCGGACAGGCGATGCCTAGACGACCTATTAAGTTGTTATAACACAAAAAATATTGTCGATTTTCCTACACGCGAATGTGACACTTGTAGCACTTCTTTGGACTGTGGGATAGTTTCGAGCGATGACTGTAATTACATAACCGTTTCTCCTTTAGATACGCCGATAAGCGACCACAACGCACAGCTATTCGTATTACCTGTTACGCAACACAAAAATGTAAACAAATTTATACATCGACGTATCTTTGCAGAGGAGTCTATTAATTTATTTTATATGGACATTTATAATTATGATTGGAGTTTCATTCATGTGACTGATATTAATATTAATGAAAAATTTAGTTCATTGATAAGAATATTAACTTATTATATTAATATTCATTTTCCAGTTAAAAAAATATCTTTAAAGAGGAATACTATTCCATGGGTGAGTGAAGAACTTAACCACCACATTGCAATGTATAATAATTTCTGCTCAATGAAACACCAATTTCCACATGATAATGTTTTAAATAAATGTCTTCAACATCATTCAAATTTAATAAAATCTATGAGTTTGCGTGATCGTCGTCTATTTAATGATAATAAGATGATGTCTACTAAAAACTCGAGTAAGGTAATGTGGCAGATTGTGAACGATGAGGTTTCAACTAGGAATCACCAACAAAACGTTCGACTGACTCACAAGGGAGACATTGTGCCTGTAGACATGATACCTGACTACTTCAATGATTATTTTCTTACAATAACTTCAAAATTACATGTACACAATAATAAAGAAAAATCAATGTCATTTTTAAGAAAATGCGTGGGTGAATGCGATGTTCCTCAGTACAGCCTTCAACTGTCACTCGTGACTCGTTGGAGGGGGTAGTGAGGGGTATGTGGCATACGTCAAAAACGCTGGACATATACGATATATCTATAAATATATTAATGTCGGTGTGGCCAGTGATTGGAGACATATTCGTTATTTTAATAAATGAAATGTTTAGAGAAGGTATATATCCTGATATTTTAAAAAGTACTCGTGTATGTCCAGTGTTTAAGGGGAAGGGGGACGTGACCCATGTTGAAAGCCACAGACCGATAACCATAGTTCCGAATATATCAAAAATAATAGAATCTATTATATCAACAAGTATTATGGATCATTTCGAAATGAACGATTTGTTATCAGATAGACAATATGCTTATAGGAAAGGTAAATCCACCGTAGTTGCAGCACAAAATATAGTAGATTCTATTATTACCAGTATAGATGATAAGTATAAAACTGCAGGCATTTTTTGTGACCTAACAAAGGCGTTCGATGTAATTGAAAATGATTTATTAATTCAAAAGCTAGCTGTGTATGGCGTCAACGGAGTCGCCCATAACCTATTAAAGTCTTTTTTATCAAACAGACGGCAAACGATTCAGGTCAGTACAAACGGTACAACAACTAGGTCAGCGGCTGGTGACGTTACCATTGGCATCCCACAGGGATCTGCCCTAGGTAATACACTATTCCTGGCATTCATCAATGATCTGCCATACTTTATATCAGGGGGTCTTGTGGTTCTATTTGCGGACGATACAACCGTTATAGTGTGTGCTAAAACCTACAACGAGTTGGAAGAAAAATTAGCCTGCACGTATGAGCAGCTGTGTGAGTGGTTCTCTGCGAATGGACTTATTCTTAACGAATCGAAGTCAAACCTTATGTTGTTCTCAGGAAGAAATTCTATAACAAAGCCAATTATCACCTCCATTGTTCCATTATGTAACACCTGTAAATTCTTGGGTTTAACGCTAGACTCAAATTTGAACTGGAAGTCACATATACAAACTCTATGTCAAAAACTTGGAAGTGCTGCATACGCACTGAGGAAACTGCGTCCTCTTGTCTCCAATGTGGTATTGAGGCAGACGTATTATGCGTATTTTCATTCGTTGATGTCTTATGGCATCACACTGTGGGGTAATTCAACTGAGTCGATTAGGGTATTTATTCTTCAAAAACGTGCACTAAGAACAATAGTAGGCATAAAAAAGGGTCAGACCTGCAGAAACCTTTTTAAGAAATACAATATAATGACCATGTACTCACAATATATTTATGATATAATAGTTTATGCGCGTCAAAACTTGGCTACTTATGAGTGACGTACGGGCGGAGGCCGAGCGTTACGAAACGCGGGAACACTAAAATCCGTTGCCCACCGTACCGAACTTGCAACTAGAAATCCGCGGGTAATAGGTCCCCGATTCTACGAACATCTACCCACAGACCTGAAAAGTGTTAGAAACGATGCAACGTTTTGTACCCGACTAAAAAACCTTTTATTGGATATTGAATTGTACAGTGTCGATGAGTTTCTTTTGAAACAATTTTAATTTTATTTTATTCGACAAGCAGTAGTTATACTACTTTATTTTATATTCATTATTATTATTATAATTTTATTACTGACGATCATAGTTATCCCTTGACATTGTATTTCCAATTGTAATATTGTGACATTGATAACATGAAATAAACGATTCTATTCTATTCTATTCTACATTTCGGTAACTTTTGAGATAATGACAACTAAAGTTTTGTCATCTAAAAAAATAATTATAAATATATGTAAATAAGATATTAAAAAACCATTAGAGGCGCTTGTACGTGAGGCGCACTATAAGGTGATTATCACACTGCACCGCGCCCCGCGACGGAGCGCGGAGCTGCGTTTTTTAATGTTGTACTGAAATACCTCAGTTTGTATGGAAAACATGCGAACACACACTGACAAGGCTTCTCCGCGCGGGAGCGCGTCGCGTGCGGTTTTATCGCACCCCCGCGCGGAGGAGAGCGGCGAACCGCAGGGCATGGCACACTGCGCTCCGAACTACCGCGCAGATTTTTAAGCTTAAGGACATGTTTAGTTTTCTACAATAGATCTCGACGTCGATAAATTTATATTTGCTATTAAGAATAGACCAAATTTCTCTTCATATCTTCTTAAATCTTTATAATGATGTTGAAATTATCCATTTATCGATCTAGTTCGTAAAAAGGGATGTATCCAATATCTTCGGTGTCTTTTTATTTGAGTAAACAAAAATCAAATAGACAGTATAACTGCAGCGCGCTGAATGAGTTTTGTATTATTAACCATTCTTGTCAAAGAAGGATCTCGGCTACATATACAATCACTACGGCTATCAACTGCGAAGCGAGTACATTAAGTGACACGGGGCCGCTAGACCGCCGCTGCCACCGCGCAGATTAAACCGCGCGTTGACGCAGATCTGCGTCTCCGCCACCGCGCGCGTGATTCTGCATCTCGCGCACCGTCGCGGGGCGCGGTGCAGTGTGATAATGGCACAAAGTTTCCGGAATGAATAAGAAAAAAATGCTATAAATGGTCAGAAATGAATGTATTGTTTCTCAAAATATTATCCGTTAGCGTTAATGCACTTTTTCATACGAATGAACTAATTTTGAAAATATATATGCCACACCTTCGTGACAATCTCTGAAACATTTTTCATACTCTTCAGGGGATGAAAGTTGTTGACCGCGTAACTGGTTCTTAATTTTTGGAAATAAATAAAAGTCACAAGGTGCCAGGTCGGGACTGTACGCGGGATGGCTCATAAGGTCAACGTTGTTCACCTTCAAAAATTCATTTGTCTGTCTGGCCGTGTGAGAACTGGCATTATCGTGGTGCAAGATGATACGGCATTTACGGTTATTTTTACGGAGTTATGACAAATAACTTCCGGTAAACAAATGGTCGTGTACCAATCTATATTCACGGTACAACGATTCTCCAAAGCAACAGTAGCCACGTGTCTATTTTTACTAAAAAAAGAAGCAATCATCCGCTTAGAGGCACTTTGCACGCGCGCCACTTTGGTTGGTTTCGGCTCATCTCGAAAGACCCATACGCTCGATTGCTGCTTTGTTTTGGAATCGTAACTATAAATCCATATTTCGTCACCTGTTACTATGACCCAC